TACTATTCTCACAAATTGTGTATTCATGACTTTGAAAGAACCTCCTGAATGGTCAAAGATGGTAGAGTAAGTACACAGTTTGTTTTCCTAGTCATATGTAGATTTGAAATTAGCTGAAATAGTCTCATGATAATATCTAGGCAGTGATGCAGATTTCTAGGAAGGAAAAAAAAAAATCAGGAATTTTAAGGGATATCTTTGGTTCCCCCCCCCCCCCTCCCGATACACCCAGTGATGTATTGGAGCCATCTCATACTGACTTACGCAAGCTGATTGTTAAATTTTCTGGAATTTTGTGAACGAATTGAGAGCAGAGCTGAGCCATGATGCCTGGCATGCCAATCAGCAGTTGGGTGGCTCATGGCATGGCAGCAGTAATGGAGCCTACACAACCAGTTGTTATACTAGGATTGCTAAGCTGGTATCATGCAATAAAAATTGTAAAAACATTCTACAAGAACTGCTAGCGTGTTTCCCATTCAACTTCCACCACAGATATTGAATCTCAAGCACAGGATTGTTTAAAGATCCCAGGATAGTACATAGATGGTAAACATTAGTTAAAAAACAAACATAACTTCACTATGTGAGATGGCATTGTCTTGATCAAGACAGCAGATGGGGGTTGCCTTCCCAACCAGACTTTCCAGTTGTATGCAAAATTGTAATGAAGGCAAAACCCTGTGGCTTTGTTTTGTTTTTTTAAAACTACATTTCCCTGGAGGACACAAGCAAAACTCTGACTTTCTGATCACAGAAAGAATGAACACAGAGGGAAGGGAAGAGGTCTAGGGTTGTGACTGGTTATCTCAAAGCAGCTGTGCTGGGAGAGAGAGAGAACACCAAAATCACCCTGCCAGTATTTTGCAAACTCTGACATTTTAAGAGCAATTTAGGGGAAGCTGATTTAAGGCAAGCAAATATCTTATTTTTTTATGACTTTGGTGAAAGTGGCTCTCTCTAAAATTAAACTGGGATTTCAGGGTTGTTTGTTTATTCAATATTGAGGCTGTCTGACAGTGTAACAACTCTGGGAGGCTTACAGATTAAAAAAAAAAAAAAAAAGAACAACGTATATGAAATGAAAACTCCAGCCCACTGGAAGACTGCACATTAACATTGAAAAAATCAAAACTGTAGGGACTCCACAATCACCCTGTTCCAAGTCTTGGGAGAATAACCAAGTTTTTAATGATCTTCTGAATGTCATTAGGGTTGGAATTCTATGAACCTCTGGGAGGATGTCATTCTAGAGGGTGCAGGCACCGTAACAGACAATGTATCCCCCCTGTGTCCTGCAGGATGACACTATTTAAAGGACCAGACCCAAAGAGGGCCGACTCTGCCTAACCTCGCCAGACAGACAAAAATAATTGGATACAAGCAGTCCCTCAGGTAGCAGGCCCTATGCAAGTTAATCCTTCCCATTGAAAATACGCTTTTATAATGTATTGGATTTTATTTTTGCGTATTTCCAGTGAAAGAGTTGTATTTCATAAATAGATTAAAAAGAATTAAGACAAAGTGGTATATTTATTTCTTGTCCAGCTCAAACTTCAATGAAATTATTGGTTTTATTAATGGGGGTGGGGGGTTGCACTAATGCATATTATCATTTTAAGGGCATTTCCATGTTCATATCCATATTATTGTTGTGAGGAAAATAGGAGGCAGGAGTATTAAGTATGTTTGCCCCCTGGGGAGAGAGAGAGAGAGATGGATAAAATAATAATAATAATGATAATGGTAATGATATCCAGCATTTGTGCCTGTCCCAAATTAACTCCACACTCTTATGCCTATGCCCTTACCTCTGTCAGATAAATATTGCCAAATTGGTAATAAGAATTAAAAACCTCTAGTAATAGTATGAAGCACAAAAATGTGTTAGGACAAATAAAAGAAATCATAATGAAAAGAGCTAACTATGTAAGTAAATATGATACCTCAGTATGTTCCTCCATTGCATTTCCACTAGGTGAATGCACTCAAATAGCAGTGATGCCTATTAAATATCCATTTCCTGTTTTGTAATAATAAGAACAAATTGGGGGGCCTAATAAGGATAAAAGTATTGTTTTAGTATTGTTTTAATTTTATATATATTATGCATTTTTATATATTTATAGTTTTAATGTCTTTGTAAGCCGGCCAGAGTCCCCTATTGTGGGGGAGATGGGCGGTGGAGAAATCCTATCAATCAATCAATCAATCAATCAGAGGAGAGCATGGAGAAAACCCCATGTGCAAACAGAAATTTCTTCAAATGATGTTGGATGCAGCCCCATTAGTACAATGTGAAATATAGTGTCCTATTCAGAAGAATTAGGTTCCCAGATTTACACAGTTCTAAGCAATTAAATATTTGGTTTAGCATAGAAGACTTTGAGCAAGATCTAGGTACTACCATTGAATTAAATCATCTTGATAAAGAAAAATGAAAACTAGGAAAGATACATGAAAATACATTGAGAATTATACCCCATACCTAAAACCACAGCTAGTTAGCTTGAAGATCATTTATTCTTTCCATTATGTTGTTGAGTTTGTTGTACTGTAAAAGGGGCACATTTTTCCACACATAACATGTTTGTGAAGTTATAAAATAATTTTATACAAATGTATTTGAAAAAAATATAACAAAATAATGAACCAGCAAGCTTAATTGAACAAGCTTCAACACCAGATCATTTCTCTGATTTTGAAGAAAATAATTCAGAGCTAATGTACAGATATCTGATAATCTCTTTCATGTGGTCACACATCTAGCAACTGAACATTTTAAAAGAGAATAATCATGTAGTAAGCTGGAGGAAAGAAAAAAAAATTAACCATGATGTATCAGGGCAGCAACAGAAAAAAGGAAAAATAAAGGAAAATATGCAGATTATTTTTAGGAAACTTAGTTTTGTTTACTCATTATATTATGAAGAAGTAAAGATTAAGAGATATTAGTAAAATGAAATAATAGTGAGTCAAAAATATTCTGTGTTTATAAGTCCCATCTAATTATATACAAGTTGTTCATCTTCTGATCAAATCTGTTAAGAAAAATAATGTTAACTAAAAAGAAGAAATGAAACATTGCTGTGTGTATGTGTGATGAAAGCAAGACAAACATTAGTTACAGCGTTAGCTCTTTTTTTTCACTTGCAATTTGAGCTGAAATAAGAACTTTAACTTTGATTATATTTTTCTACATATCTACTTGGGTCCATTTGTAATGTTTCTTTTGGCTTCTTTCACATGTACACCCGCATACAGAGTTACTCACAAATGAGTGAAACAATGTAGGCTTTCATATGTATCCTGAAAATCATGATGTTTGAAGATGCTAAACATTCCAATATATATTGGAATCAAATGATAGTAACAAAATTTACAGAATGTTCTTTTTAGAAATTGAAAAATTCTGCAGAATTTTTTTTTTTCCCCTGTCTGCATCACTGCTGCTATTATCTATTAGATGAAAATGCAGATTTTGGTGTCATTGAAAGAGAGGTTGTGATATATTCAAGGAAAAAAGCAAGTGCCATGAACCAAACCTCATGAAATTTATGGAAAAAAATGACAACATAGAACATGTAATTCTTCCATATGCCTCCATAGTTGGAAAATGAATCTATTAAAACAATAAAGGCTTTGATCTCTTTGTATCACTAGTTAATCACTTTAGTAACTTCTACTAATGTATGTTCCTTCCTATTCAGCAAATAAGGAGGAACATCAACTCTCTGCATTAAAAACTTGGTATTCTGGATATAAACTCTCTTTAAAATTTTGACAGTGTCTAAAAACAGCCTTCTAGTGTTATGTCTAAATACATACTAAATCTTTATGTCTTAAAACTTTTAATGAAGTGTATGTCTGCAATAGTGTTTTAAGCTCAATGTAGATAATGTGAAAAATCCAGTAGTATATTCTTTTTGTTGGAGAGAATGTTCCTCTGACAGAACAAGTATTCCCTGTCCTCAGCCCCAAGCTATTGGAGCAGATGCTGAGAATGAACAGGAGGGGGGCAAGTGGAAAGGAAAATTACCATTTTAAGTGTGGAAATCTCTGCAACATTCAAAAGCATCAAATAAAAGGAGAAGGGGGCATTAACAAGAGCAGGAAATTACTGTACTAAACTCTATGGGAATGACAAGTTTACTTGGATTTTTCTCCCCTTCAGATACACGTTCACTGGAATCTATACATTTGAATCTCTCATAAAAATTTTTGCAAGAGGTTTCTGTATAGATGTTTTTACTTTCCTTCGAGATCCCTGGAATTGGCTTGATTTTCTTGTAATTTCATTTGCGTGAGTATTTTTTTTTTTTTTTTACATTGGTGACTTAGACAGTTTTGAAAAATGAATATCACTAGGATTGCACCTGCATGACGGTTTTGGGACACATTAATTGTATTTTTTATCAATTGCATCCATCAGTAGCCTTTTGTTAGTGGAATGGACATAATAGGATAAGAAATTTCCCTGCATGGCCCCCTCCCCAAATCTCTGGTCTGGATAGTTGCAGGAACCCTAGAAGGTAGAAAGAAAGAAGGGGACATTCTCACTGTATGAGCAGAAGCCCAAACTGGAAAAACTGTCATCAGAAACTGCAAATGCCATACTAAGCTTATGTTTAGTTCAGTAGTGATTAATTTTCTTGGTCCATAATTAGCTCTCTTTGCCAGTAAAGTCATTTTTGTCAGCAGGATAGGGGGAGCACAATGGTTCATCCTGTAGCTCAATCCATGTTTCTTCACAATATATTCTGGAAGTGTAGGAGCAGATTGAAAGTAGGGGGCATGAGTGGGGAAAATGCTGTGTCAAATCCAGTTTCCCCTTGTTTTTAAAATGTCAGTTTCATTTGTTGAAGCAGTAATATAATAATAAAGTATAACTGATTCAAATTGCCTCAAATACAGATACACACAAATGTACACATACACACACACACTGTTGTGACCATAAACTGGCTCACTTAAATAATCCAAATCACTTTGAAGATACAACATAAATTTATTAAGCATACACCTGAAAAAGCTTCCATTTTGCTAACAAAGCCAGTGCCATATACAAGTGGTGGAAGTATCTTTAGTCGCTGATATTCAGCGCACCACTGAGCATTGCATTGGCAATAGTTGCAATCTTACATGCACTTACTTGGTGTTATTCCCCAGTGGACAAAGTGGGATTTATTTTCAACTGTACACACCGAGCACAAAATCAGAAAAGCTAATTATAATTCAATTACGAAAAAGATTTAACTCAAATAAATATTCAGGTAAGTACCCTGAAGTCTGTCTCAACTCTGAATAACTGTGGTTTAATTCTACAGGTATGTAACAGAATTTGTAAACCTAGGCAATGT